GTATGACATGGATGGTGGTCGTAGCAGGGTTGTGTCTAGGTGGGTATCATACCATGCAACACCAATAGCAGAGTTCAGCACTGTAAATTACCTACACTGTTTAAAACACAGGATCAGTGCACTGCATCTCACCAGAAAATAAAGGCTGAGTATATCTAAAATGGCAGCAGGATACATCCAGAACATACTCCCTGACCCAGCTGCTTGGAAGTGCTCCCAATACAACACAAATAGATTCTTAGGGAAGCAGGACTCTTGTTCTGCTTTTTTAACCCCTTGGTTTGAAGTGACCAAAAGTACATGTCTTTCTACTCAGCACTGCCTATAGAAGTGCACATATGGTTACTGACCTCATGCCCCTCTTGACATACTGGCACCCAAAAAGCAATCTCATTAACCCATGTCCTCTTAAAGCCAAATGCTAACCAACATAACTGCTGTCTAAAATACCTTCTGCAGCCAGCTAAGAAAATCTCTAGTCTGATTTTCTCTGCAGCTTCTAAGTGGTTGGAACATGGACTTTCCTTCCCTTGTTGACAGCATCCCACAGCACAAGAGACAATAGTTTTTATCTTTGCTACTGTTAAAGGAGCAGAGTGAACAGAAAGAATTCCTCATCTCTTCCACCTTAGAGTTAGTCCTGCAATAGTCAGCTACTGAATCCCACTGTTAACAGCTGATCACCACTGAGAAATTTGCACAAGAGTAGAGAAAAAAATTAAATATAGTACTCAGATTTCTAGGAACTTGGCTCAGTCACAGTTTCTCAATAAAAGAATATGAGATCAGAGATGCCTCACAAATATCCTACAAGCAAAAAGCTGACAGTAGAGAGGCTCAGGACAGAGGGAACTTAGCTGCCTGGTTCAAAGGACTGTGCAAATACATTAGCTAGCCAGGGCCTGCCTACAGCTCCTTCATTTACAGGGACAAATATGCCAGCCTGTGAAAATGGTGTCTCTAGCCCTAAAAGTTCCTGAGTGGTCAAGAAGGAAAAACAGTAAATAGGTGTTCTGCAGCTTGCAGACTATTTCCACTCAGACCTGTACTGTTTGTACTACATTTAGGTGTGGGATTTTTTTTATAAAGGGCAAGAAAGAATAAGCAAAATACAAGTTTAAGGAGATAAGGTTAAATTCTTTTCAGCTTAAATCATACAGAGGTTATTCAGTAAAATTCCTTGTTATTTTTAAGACTGGCATACACTTATAAGGTGCAACAATTCCTAGGCCCCTTAGCAGTCATTCCCCCCACCCAGCTTGTACACCACATGCACTGTTTGAGCTACCAGATTTTTAGACAGTAACAAAGGCACAAAGCACACAGGTCACAGTTAGACCACACAGTCTGAGAAACAAAGTGCTGTGCCAACACCAGTATCCCTCCCCAGTAAATTTGTAGTCAGCATTTACAACAATACTCAGAGAAATACACAAAACTACCAGCTTACCAAGCATGCTGTGTTTAATCCAGAAAACTCAAAACACCCCACTTATCTTTCAAAAGAAGCACACAACCCAAGCCCACTAACTCTGCTTCAACAACCACGCTTAGTAACTTCCTGCCTACCCAACCCCAGCTGCTCCTTGAACAGCTATTACAAAGCTGAGCACACTCAGTAATCAGCTAAATGAATCTTGCTGGCCACCCCCCACAAGCAGTGTAATGGTCCTCTTCCCTTCTTTGTCTTAAAGGTCTTTTCTACCAGCTCCTAAGGAGTTAAGAGGCTTTCCGTGGCTTTGGCTCAAAGAAGAGGACTTAACCACCTATGTCAGTCAGACATCATAGATTAACACCACAAATGTTCACCTTTAATTTAATTTGTTGAGAACAGTTCATTAAATTCATTGCAGTGAGAATTTTTCTGAAGTAGTCCATTACCAATGGTTAAACCAATGACAATAGACATGCATATTTGCTTTATAAACCTTGAGGCCCAGTTTAGGAGAGTAGGGAGGTATCCATAGCAGGATATAGGTTCTCTGAGTAGTCACAGGGTAATTAAGAAATTTCACATATCCATGTACAGAAAGAGCTTATGAGTGCTGGCAAGGTTTAGACCACATACGCTGTATCTGCTCAGCAGTCTTCTACCCTTTTTCTACAGCAGCATTGGCATTCAACCTACACATCCAAAATTGGTTAGTAGCAAATAACTGGATGGCAAAATACTCAGGTAGCTGTGGATGTCCATGTCATAGTGGCTCTGTGCTCCAAATGCATGAGGCAGCTCTTGTGTGGGTGTATATGCATGACTGACCATCCTGAGGACAGTCCAGCTCACCAGTGACAGCCAAGATATGATCCAGGGGCAGAAATTGAGAACAAGAACTAGGGATTGCCAAAATTCAGAAAACAGAGCACAGGAAAATACCTATAGGCTCAGCTGTTGACAAGCCAAAAATCAGCTGCATTCCCACCATCTATGTTTAACCACACTGTGCTTACCACAGGTCTGCTAGAAGGGTTGGTTATAGCTAACAGTAGTGAGATAATTCAAGTCCGTATCTAGCAGAACTAGCAGTGAGATAAACTCCCTGAAGATCTTGAAGACAGCCCCATTTGTCACTGAAAGCTCTGCAGATACTAATGCTCAAAGAGGCTTTAGAATCCCTGAAATTTTATATTATATTTTCTTTTAAATTTACTCTCACAATATTGTTTTATCTTCCTGGTTCCAGTGACCACATTTGAAGACTGGATTCCTTCTGGGGCTTTACTTGCTGAAAGCTTCACCCCCTTTCTGTTCCTTTTTAAGATTATTTGGATACAAAAGGTATTCTGAATAGTAACTGTCTACAGTTATATTAACTAAAGCTAAGTTTAAATAAAGGCTTGGCATGATTATACAAGCTTCCCACTCTACCCTGCATTATCTCTTTCTCTCACTGGACACCACTTCTACAATACATTTCTTTGCTAATACTTGTTACATGAGTTCAATGGCCTGTGTAGTTTTAATGTATGTGACTGATTTCTCCTTAGCCTCTCTTCCATCAATGGCTACACTATTATGACATGTGACAAAATTGTATCACAAGTCATGCTGTTTACCTTACTCAACAAAAGTCTTTGAATTCAGAAAACAGTTAATTTCTTACACTTCTGCTTTTTAAGGCAATTATTTTATTCTCATAGAGACTTCTTCTGATACAGCTCCCTAAGTTGCTGAAAAGATGCAACCTTTTTTTTTTAGCATTAACCACTAACTCTGGAGTGTTAACCACATCAAACCACATTAAGAGACAATATAGTTTATCTGAATCTCTTCCCCATTTGGACCATATCTCACCCTACTTTGTTTTTGCTGCATTTGTTCCATTTTAGTGAAATGGGAAATTTTTGCTCAGCTCCTAGTAACATTCACTCCTTCACATACCTTTCTTACTATATTATTTCCTTTGCCTCAATCCATCACTTTTAGTATTCCCCAGGAGCAAATCAAATGATACAGTAATGTTTTGTCTGCTTCAAAAGCAGTCATCTTATTTCTAGCATTTACCTGTCATGAAGAATAATCCATTACTCATCTCTTCAGCTGATGATAGATAGTTTCCCCTGTAGAATCGACCTGAATGTGCTCCCTAGAAGGCTGCCTCATCAGAGCTCCTCTTTTCAGCTAGCTGTCTTGGTTTTGATGGGAAAAAAAAAAAAAAAAGCAGACAACCATTAATTGGCTTTTCCAGTTGTTTTTTCCACCCCATTTACCACACAATGCCACCTATCTTCTTTTTGGTTTGGACAGTGTAGAGTAACTTCCCTCAAGCAGAACAATAAACACTGTTATACTTCTTGGTATCACCCAGATAGCTCCTTCCTCACTGTCCATACACAGAATATCTTGCAGTGCTTTGAGAGATTGCCAGTGCTACATTCACTGGCACAATTAAACAATGGTTCTGTTTCTTCATTGTTTGGATTTGCTGGGTTTGTTCTGCTTTTGCTTCTCTGACTGCTGATGACCCCTTGTGAGTACCCCTCTGCTGTTAAGCTATTTCCCAGGCTGCTGGAGGACAGGCTATTACAAAACTGTCTTAGGCAGCCACATCAGCTGTTATTTCCTTTTGCTAATGCATTGGGGTTTTTTAGTGTGCTCAGACAACTGGATAGAGTCTAAGAGTTCTAAGTGCAATAACTTCTGACATTCTTCAAAGACAATGGAAAAGGTAAATTACAGGATGGTAGAAGAGGACTCATGAGATTTTGAGAGCTTAACCACAGATAAGAAACACAATTACTTCCAGCTAGATTTTTACAGGTGTTTCCCCATGTGCCATAGGGGACCTTCCTGCAGTGTCAATGGCAGCCCCAGAAAAAGGAATGGGATAGCCCTCTACAATGCCTACATTGGAGGAAATTCTCTCTCTGCAGGGAATCACAGTGAAGTGAAAAGCAGTTGTTCCTGCTAGCTTGAAGTTGTCACAATGAAAAAACTCACTTTGAAGCCTACAGTTTCATATAGTATTTTACAGAATGGCAGTTGTAAATGTGCTCAGCTAAGGAAAAGGAAGAAGCAAAGACAGGGAGAGAGGAGAGCTTTCAGATGTTAGGGTAAAATATCAAGACTGAAGGTTCAGTTTATTTTGCACCAAAGTTATCTGAGGATGCTAGACAACTTAGAGTTTGGCAAAAATTATGTCCATTTTGTTCTTTGTTAAATATTATGCATAAATGCAAAGGAAATTAGGTTCTGGTAATGGGTTGGGAAGTGGAACTCTTGCTAAGAAAAAAATAAAAATAAAAATCCCTAGACACTACATACTGTGACCCTTGGACTGAAAACACAAGTGTCAGAATAGCTGTTTGAAAAATTATGTTCTGCCAGTGTGGTGTGCTGATATACACCTGTATATTTACAGTACCTTCACTGAGAACCATTTATTCAGGGTAGAGCTGTCTTCCATTGACTGAAGATCTGGTTTGATTTATTTACTGTGACAGGCAGAGGTCAGAGGGCCATTCATGAAGCAAAAGGCACAAACCTTTGCTGATTCTGTTGTCTCATAGATTTCATTCTGCTACAGCTGGTGGTTGAGCATTTCTGCCTGGGATGGCGGAGGATCAGGAGCTGACTCAGCCACACAAAGCTCAACTGGAGCCCTCCCTTCAGCAGCGCACCAGCAACACGTACCGTAGTGCAGAGCACTCCCAGGCCCTGCTCAGTGGCTTGGTATCTCTCCGAGACAGCAGCATCCTCTTCGATGTAGTTCTGATAGTGGAAGAGAAACCTATTGAGGCCCATCGCATTCTCCTCGCTGCATCCTGTGACTATTTCAGGTACACTTCAGTACAAGCGTGTTTCTGAATGTTACTCCAACCTGTAACATCCAAGCCTTGTGCTTTAGCACACTCCTCCTTCGTGTAAAATCAGATCTGTAAGATGGAGCTGAATGTCAGAATACTAAGGGTGGCTTTATTCACCTCCCTCTTCTGTCTCTACAGAAATAAAGCACACTGAGTTTACCTCCACTAAATTCAATGCCCATGGTACTTGGAGGTATATAAAGAGGAAAGACTATTGTAACAGGTTCTTCTCCATAAATGCACTCTGGGTGGCTTTCAATATATCCTTAGTGTTGTGAGACTGCCCATTGTGCTGATAATTTCATAATACATAGAAAGTCACTGGAAATGGGTAACTCCTCTGTTACGTGCCTATAATGTGACTTGCTGTCCACTAAATCAGGCAGTCCTTGGTCAGTTTGACTAGCAATTTCTTGACCTGACTTTGTATTCATAGAGTAAACAAACAAATCCCAAGGCAATCCAGACAAGAGGAAACAACAAGGCAAACTGAAAAAAGCTTTAATGCAAATCTGCCATAGCATGTGCCATTGTCTTTTTTACAGAGGAATGTTTGCAGGAGGACTGAGAGAGATGGAACAAGAAGAAGTTCATATTCATGGCATCTCCTACAATGCAATGTGTAAAATCTTGAACTTCATTTACACTTCTGAGCTGGAACTCAGTGTGAACAGTGTACAGGAAACCTTAGCTGCAGCCTGTCAGCTTCAGGTGAGGTACTGAGGGATGTGACAAAAAAGAAGCAAGAAACAAAAGTAACAATGAAATAATCGAAAAACATGGATATCTGGTTAGATGGAGTGCTAGGGGGTGAATAAGAGCATGGGTCTGATAAGGAGAACTTATTTGGTATGCTGTACCCACTGGAACTAACTATGGAAGGGCAGGAACAATGAATGAGTTACTTGCCCATCTCATTTGTGCCAATGGTTTTATTACTTAAAAACATTTACCATTTTGTCTAGAGGACTAGTTTATACAGCACTCACTTTCACTCATCTGCTTATGAAAACTTCCCTAGAACAGAATACCTCTGGCCTATAGTAAAGGACAGGGCTTACTGCTCAGAAATTGTTGTGCTGATCAAGATCTTCTCCAGAACAAGTCCACAGGCACATAACCTTCCCTGACCATGACACTCGAAGAAATCCTACCACTGTGGGTTCTTTACTAAGTGCAGAGTTCATGTGCCTCTAAGACAAGATTTCTTTCCC